CAGCATTTGGTGCAGATCCGTCTTGTGTGGAGTGCCATGTGTGGCAAGGCCAATATTGGGACACTCTACATTTTACACTTTGCACTTGTCACTCCTCACTTTACACTCAACGACACTCTGCGCATTACAGTGCGCTATAATTTTCACACTTTGCACCTGACACTCCACACTTTAAAACTTTATACTCCACATTTTACATTTTACACTTTGCACATCGCAATCCCCACTTCATACCCTGCACACTACATTCCCCACTCAACACCCCACTGTCTTCACACTCCACACTCTGCACTCAACCCCGTTCCGCACTCCACAAGGATAAGAATTAATAATATTGAAACATCCAAGGGACACTAACCCGAGACGATCTTTCCTTTGGGATCATTTTCACTAGTATATACCAAGGCCACCTACCTTGATAGATAAGATAGATAAAGAAATATATAATGGAAAACATATATCACACAATCAGAGGTAGAACTAAATCACCAAGGACCATAGAATCAAATTCCAAAGGCCCCCTATCGGCTGCATATACCTATGTCTTCCTATGTATGTTTTTTTCCTGCTGTTTCAAAAAAAATGTTTTTTTTCAGTAAGTCATTGTTTTTTTGACCCCGAGCGTTTTTTATGTTTTTCATGATTTTGGACACTTGGCTGATTCCTGTCTGGCCGCTGCTTGGGCCACGTGGCCCTTATGGTGGATCTACAGCCTCATTTGAGGCAGTTGAAACTTGGAAAGGTGGGATGACATTGAACCAAGCCGGTATGGTGGTTTACATCAAGTTGATCCATTTTTTTCAGATGGGAATACCACCTTCTACCCACTTGAAATCAGAGTGCTAAATTTAAAAGCACGTTCATAAGAAATAAAAAAGGTCACCAGCCAAATCCAACAAATGCAGCCTGGCACATTCCATGCAGCCATGATGACGCCCATCGTCATCCAAAACGTGTGCCCCTCTTTTTTTATCCAAACATTTCTGGCCAGCTCAGTTTAGCAGTTTAGCTCAGCCCTGGCCATCTCATTTGGAGATTTCAGAGCCTTCGCAGGTACTAGCTGCCGACTGCGGCCAAAGGCAACATGATAGAGGACCCGATTTAGCTGCCATCTCTTTGTGGGGTACAAGGGGTTGGGCATTTGCCACATGCCCATTCCTACGGATATGGGGATGACCCAAACTTTCTATTTTTAACCCCCTGTCAATTAAGGGTTGGGGCTGTGCAACCATTTTGTAGTGAAGAAACGGCCTGCATAGCCTCAAGCTCTACTAAATGGATGTGCATGCATGATCGAATTTCACTACTAAATGTGGGCCCCTGGTTCAGCTGAAGCGCAAAATTTGGATATATTTTCAGAGTGTCTTAAGACGCCAACATGACTCGACCAAACACCCTGTTCCATTTAGTAGAGGTACTCATTTGAGCACAAGTTGCGGGACCTACATCACTCGACCAAAACCCCAAAGCCATTTAGTAGAGAAATACACGGGGTCCATTTAGTAGAGAAAACAACATGAAACACATATGACTGATCCCATGACCATCCATTTAGATTTGGCATCGCCCCCAAAAAAGGCAACAAAAGAACCCAAGCACGAAAGGCAGCACCCGACGAGCAAGAAACACCCAAGCGAGGGATTTGGCATCGCCCCCCAAAAAAGGCAAAAAAAAAACAAACATGAAAGGCAGCACCTGACGAGCAAGAAACACCCAAGCGAGGGATTTGGCATCGCCCCCAAAAAAGGCAAGGCAGCACTTGGCTAGACAGGGGAAATCTTGACAGATTTTGGACATTTTGGGACTACAAAATGGTGTTCCATAGCACGTAAGGGATAATAGGGCACACAAGGATGCAACAGGGCTTTGTTTGAAACAGTTCTAGAAAGACTGATCCCATGACCATCCATTTAGTAAGCACCCGACGAGCAAGAAACACCCAAGCGAGGGATTTGGCATCGCCCCCAAAAAAGGCCAAAAAAGAACCCAAACACGAAAGGCAGCACCCGACGAGCAAGAAACACCCAAGCGAGGGATTTGGCATCGCCCCAAAAAAGGCAAGGCAGCACTTGGCTAGACAGGGGAAATCTTGACAGATTTTGGACATTTTGGGACTACAAAATGGTGTTCCATAGCACGTAAGGGATAATGGGGCACACACGGATGCAACAGGGCTTTGTTTCAAACAGTTCTAGATAGACTGATCCCATGACCATCCATTTAGTAAGCACCCGATGAGCAAGAAACACCCAAGCGAGGGATTTGGCCGCCCCCAAAAAAGGCAAAAAAAGAACCCAAACACGAAAGGCAGCACCCGACGAGCAAGAAACACCCAAGCGAGGGATTTGGCATCGCCCCCCAAAAAACGCAAAAAAAAACAAACACGAAAGGCAGCACCCCACGAGCAAGAAACACCCAAGCGAGGGATTTGGCATCGCCCCCCAAAAAACGCAAAAACAAACAAACACGAAAGGCAGCACCCGACGAGCAAGAAACACCCAAGCGAGGGATTTGGCATCGCCCCCAAAAAAGGCAAGGCAGCACTTGCCTAGACGGGGAAATCTTGACAGATTTTGGACATTTTGGGATTACAAAATGGTGTTCCATAGCACGTAAGGGATAATAGGGCACACAATGATGCAACAGGGCTTTGTTTCAAACAATTCTAGATAGACTGATCCCATGACCATCCAATTGGTAAGCACCCGACGAGCAAGAAACACCCAAGCGAGGGATTTGGCATCGCCCCCAAAAAAGGCCAAAAAAGAACCCCAACACGAAAGGCAGCACCCGACGAGCAAGAAACACCCAAGCGAGGGATTTGGCATCGCCCCCCGAAAAAGGCAACAAAAGAACCCAAGCACGAAAGGCAGCACCCGACGAGCAAGAAACACCCAAGCGAGGGATTTGGCATCGCCCCCCAAAAAAAGCAAAAAAAAACAAACACGAAAGGCAGCACCCGACGAGCAAGAAACACCCAAGCGAGGGATTTGGCATCGCCCCAAAAAAAGGCAAGGCAGCACTTGGCTAGACAGGGGAAATCTTGATAGAATTTGGACATTTTGGGACTACAAAATGGTGTTCCATAGCACGTAAGGGATAATAGGGCACACAAGGATGCAACAGGGCTTTGTTTCAAACAATTCTAGATAGACTGATCCCATGACCATCCATTTAGTAGAGGCAGCACTTGGCTAGACTGGAGGCGGCATGGCAGGATACCGCAAGGATGCTATCTTTGTCCAACTTCTGTTGTTTTTCATATCGCGGTATACCCGATCATGTTGATTTACTTCAACCCAGGAATATCTTTGATATTCATTGGCATTCTAGAATTTATATTTATTTTTCAAGCTTCTTATTTTTTTGATCATCTATTATCATATACTATCTGGATTTACGTGATTCATCCTGATGGACATGGATTGGCCAAACGACTATCGGGGGCAACGGAATGGGAATCTCTACTAAATGGTTTTTCAGTTTTGTCTCGTGTCATTGTGACCGTTTTATGAACTCTACTTCGCAACCTCTACTAAATGGTTCCTGTGATTTTGCAACATTTTTTTGACATCTCTACTAAATGGTTTTACCCAAAAAACAACATTTGACATCATATGATTAACATATCATTTTTACCTCACTACTAAATGTGGATCATGGGTCTAGAGATGTTTACTTTATTTTTTTTAAAAATCATGATTCTCTACTAAATGGTTTCTGGAAATTTCACACTAAATTTTTGGTTCACTTTCCGGGACCTAGGTCATAGCATTTAGTAGTGGAAATTGGCAGGAGGATCTATTTTTAATAAACAAGAAGATCAAAAAAGGGGGTTTGGGGCATCCATGGGTATACCTATATTTTAAGATATCCCCATATCCATCAACTTGGGGGCCCCTAAAGAAAGAAAACCCAGCATGGATCCAACGTTTCTGTAGATGATGTACTCAATTATTAAGGGGGAAACGGGGAAAAGGCTAATTACATATGACCAATCCAGCGCAGCCGCAGTGGTCGAGGTTTGGTTGGGTGTGAAAGGGTTTGGCTGGCTATTGACGTAATGGAGGTGCAGCTAGCAGTTGCTTGGGAATCCGAAGGTATGTTGAGAACCAGGGCCAGAGAGACCGGTTCACTCACAACATGGCCTAGTGTTCAGGCAACAGGCGTGCCAAGCATGAAGGCTTGCAGCCTGAATGCGCGTTTGCTGGAGCTGACATGCAAGTGGTGGACCCAATTTTGCGAAAGCCCTGCAAGTATCCCCATAGGACTCCTGAGAGCTGAGGCCTGGTTTCCTTACAAGCGTGATGGAAGTACGTTAGGCGAAAACATCATCAACTGCATTCATTCTTTTGTGGTCAAGGGTTGAAATGTTTTTTGGGTGAACAATTCCGTTTGTAACCCCAACCTCTGACCCACTCAAAGCAACCAATGTTTTAAACGCACCAATGTTTTTACGATAGTTCTGTGGTTCGTCTTGTTTACACATATCATCCTCAACCAACAATTTCCTGTTTAAATCTAGCCTCCCATCAGGTAAGAAAGTTCCGAGAGCTGGCCGTCATGGATCCGGACCAGGCAGCCACAAATATGGACGGATGGGGTGTGAAGCGATTGTTTTCGCACTTGGTTCGCAGGTGGCTGTCAAAGTCGGCACAGCCGAGGGAATCTTGGTAAGACATTTTCATACCCCAGAGCCACATAGAAGAAGGAAACCAACACACTTACACACATCAATTTTCATCAATTTTCTATATATTATGGGGCTATATCTTTTGATCATGCTCTTTTGGGCCCTTCTGACCTCCCAAATTACCTGACCATTTTTGCCGCGCCACCGTCTCAGGATCCATCCTTGGTGGCAGCCTGGGAGATCTTGGATATCGCATGGGGTCGCCGCGATGGCGATGGCGATGGTGCTTTGGCGTCAGACGATTCTGGGGGTGAGGGTGGGCCCCCACCGCCTGTCCATCCGCTGGCTATCGAGGATGGTGAGGTGAATGATCCGTATGACCCCGAGGGGGATTCAGAGTCTGTTGCCACCACACACTGGAAGGTGTGAGACCAGTTTCTAAGCAGTTCAGAAAGCGACGTTTGGCACTACGGGCTGCCGGCCGCGGGCCTGATCCGTACTGCACTGCCATGGTGTTTTGGCCCTGCGAGACCGGTCTTGGAGCGAAGCTTGACTGGCAGTGCTGGAACGCGTGAGACCAGTTTCTAGGCAGTTCAGAAAGCGACGTTTGGCACTACGGGCTGCCGGCCGCGGGCCCGATCCGTACTGCACTGCCATGGTGTTTTGGCCCTGCGAGACCGGTCTTTGAGCGAAGCTTTACTGGCAGTGCTGGAACGTGTGAGACCAGTTTCGAGGCAGTTCAGAAAGCGACGTTTGGCACGACGGGCTGCCGGCCGCGGGCCCGATCCGTACTGCACTGCCATGGTGTTTTGGCCCTGCGAGACCGGTCTTTGAGCGAAGCTTGACTGGCAGTGCTGGAACGTGTGAGACCAGTTGAGTGCGCCTTATTGAAAAGATTCAACAGGTTTATTGGTTTAGAGGTTCACTGTTGAAATGCAAGTTTTATTGAAATAAACCAACAGGAGCTGTTGGTTTGACAGCTTAAAATCTGTTGTATTTTTCAACACAGGTCTGTTGAAATTTTCAACAGGATTTCTTGGTTTTCAAGACAAAAACATCAATTTTTACATGTTTCCAAAACCAAAAAAAACAAAGACTCCTGAACTTTCTTTTTCCACATGTGTAAACACACATAGCAGCTGTTCCCATGTGCATGACACTGCCCATGAACCCTGGAGCTTCCTGCACCCCTTGAACTTCCTGCAGCCCTGCATCTTCAATTGGGTCCTGTGAAAGGGGTCCTGCAAAAGGGCTCAGAATGGCAGAGCTGGATGTCCTGGATGGTTTGGAGCAGGACAGGATCCGCAACATCAACAGACCAGGATTGCTCCAATACTGGTGCTACATCCAGTGCAACAACTGCCACAGGGGATGGATCTGGAGGAGGAAGCTGAGCACTGCAGAAGACTGGACCTTGAATTGCTACATTTGTGACAAGTCATGGAGGCAAAACTACTGTGAAAATGGTGGCTGGCACTACTGGGACCCCATTCGGAGAAGACCTGAGTTCTGAGCCAGCCACCTGCATGGCCCTGCAAAAGGGCCACCCTGGGCCTTGCAAAAGGGCTCCACATGAAGCATGGGTCTTGAAAACGGGCTCCCTGAAGCATTCAAAAAGCTTCCAGGGAAAAATGTTGGAGCAAGGTGTTGGAAGCTGACTCCACACATGGCCACACAGCAGCAGCCACCTCACAGCATGTGTCAGACTTGCAGCATGGATGCAGGCCTATGGGCTCACAGTCATTTTTCAAACCTGTATTTGGCCTTGGGAAGGGGCTTTTCCTGAAGTTTTGCCTTGGACAAAGCCATGCATTCCTACTGTGATCAAAGAGGCTTTCAACATGTACCAGGCTCCAGGCCCAGCAGTCAGAGAGCCCTCAAAGCATAGCCCAGCTTGCAAGGCTTCTGGAGGCGCTCCTGGGTGTGAGCAGCAGTGCCAAGATCAAGTACAAGGCATTGAAGCAATCCTTTGTTGTTCTCCTGCAAACCTGGGGGGTGCAGCTTCTCAAAGCCCACTGGGAGATGGATGACAGCATGCTTGCTGGCAGAGCTGCTGACTCAGTGGGTGTGCTCTTGAAGCACTGGAGAAGACGCTCATCCAGTGAAGTTGCTTGGGGCAAGTTGGTTGGGAAGCTGGATGAGTCTGAGGCAGCTGCTCTGGAGAGGCTGAGAAAAAAGACAACCTGGGATGGCAAGCAGGAGCCCAAAAAAAGGCAGCTCAAACTCCACAACTCTGAGGTCAGCCAGGACAGCCATGGATGGCCAAAAATGGTGGCCCAGCCTGTGCCCAGTGAAGCAGAAGACTCAGGTGATGAGGAAATGGAATCTGAAAGCCAATCAGGAAGTGGCAGCAGCTGCAAGCTTTCAGGTCTGGATGAGAGCCCCCCTCCTTGTTTGAAGAAGGACTGGAGGGCAAATGCCATGAAAAGGCCAGCTGCTGAGTCTGAGAGCATCATGAAGAAGCCTTCTTCAAGCTCTTCCAAGTCTGAGGAAGTGAAGGCCAAGCCTCCTTTGGGCCCTGGGAAAGGGCCAACCTCGGGCACTGAGAAAGTGCTCATTGACCAAGGCAGTATCAGCACTGGTGGTGGCAAGAACCAAAGCTACTTGCAACATCAGCCTGGGCCTGGGAAGAACAAGAGACTCATAGCTGCTGTGACCTTGAGCCAAGCCAGCAGAACAACAAAGAACCACCAACAACTGGTTCAGCTGTTGCTTAAAGCCAAAGGCAACCAAGGCTGATGTGCTGGCAGAAAGAGAGAAGCTCTTTGCAAAGTTTGCCAAGTATTATAAGATTCTTACTGCTACAGTCTGAGACCATCAAAAATTATTATTTTTTCATTGTTTTTTCATTTTCATTTTCATTTCCATTTTCATTTTCATTTTCATTATCATTTCCATTATCGTTTTTTTTCATTTTATCTTCATTTTTTTTCATTTTTGTTCATCACCTTTTGCCATCAAACTTCATTTTTTTTCATTTGCAACTTCATTTTTTTTTCATTTCCTCTCTTTTTGATGGTTTTTCATTGTTTTTCATGGCTTTCCTGGATTTCAGGTGCCATGGGCAAGGAAAATGAAAAAAAAATGAAAAAAATGAAAAAAAAAAAATTTCCTCGAGTTTTTGAAGATTTCCTGGTTCGGAGTGAGAATCTGCAACTTTGAGTCCAAATTTTCATTTTTTTTTCATTTGCAACTTCATTTTTTTTTCATTTTCCTTTGTTTTTGATGGTTTTCCATTGTTTTTCATGGTTTTCCTGGATTTCAGGTGCCACGGGAAAGGAAAATGAAAAAAAAATGAATTAAAAAATGAAAATTTCCTCGAGTTTTTGAAGATTTCCTGGTTCGGAGTGAGAATCTGCAACTTTGAGTCCAAATTTTCATTTTTTTTTCATTTGCAACTTCATTTTTTTTCATTTTCCTTTGTTTTTGATGGTTTTCCATTGTTTTTCATTGTTTTTCATGGTTTTCCTGGATTTCAGGTGCCACGGGAAAGGAAAATGAAAAAAAAAAGAAAAAAATGAAAAAATGAAAAAAATGAAAATTTCCTCGAGTTTTTGAAGATTTCCTGGTTCGGAGTGAGAATCTGCAACTTTGAGTCCAAATTTTCATTTTTTTTTCATTTGCAACTTCATTTTTTTTCATTTTCCTTTGTTTTTGATGGTTTTCCATTGTTTTTCATTGTTTTTCATGGTTTTCCTGGATTTCAGGTGCCACGGGAAAGGAAAATGAAAAAAAAATGAAGTTTAAAATGAAAAAAATGAAGTTTGAAATGAAAAAAAATGATGTTTGAAATGAAAAAAAATGAAGTTTGGAGAAACAAAAAACGAAAAAAAAATGAAAAAAAATGAAAAATAAATGAAAACAGAAAAATGATTGAAAAACAAAATGAAAAAAAATGAAGTTACAAATGAAAACCCAAATGAAAAATAAATGAAAAAAAATAATTTTAAACATTTCCAATCTGTGGCTCGATGCGAATCATATAAGCCAAGTAGGCCATGTAAAAAATGAAGCCCTGCAAAAGGGCTCTATAGGTCCTGCAAAAGGGCTTTGCCACAGCCTTAGACAAAGGCTTGACCATGAAGCTCAACATTTGGAAGAAAAATGCCTGGTAGTGTATGCAGCCTGCAATGGAGCATGCTGGGTCAAGTTACAGCAGCATGGTGGCACTGTGCCATGACCTGGCTGTAGTCACTGTAGCTTTGGCTCAAAATAGTGTTTGGTGTTTTTGCCCCTTTGCAGGGGCAAGGCTAAGCTATCCTGGGCCTTGCACAAGGGATCCATCTCAAGCAGGCCTTGCAAAAGGGCTTCTGGGCACCTGTGAAAGGGCTCCAAAACATGGAGGCCCCCAGCTCCTCAGATGGGAGCAAGGCCAGGAGAAACAGAACTCCAGTGCCCAAGCCCCTCTGGGCAGACATGGTGGACCCCAGCAGGGAGAAGAAGCAAGTGGAGAAGGAAAAGGAGAAGAATGCCAAAGAAGAGCCCATGGAGGAGGAGTGGTGGGAAAAGGACTGGAAAGATTCCAGGAAGACTTGGAATGACTGGTGGCAAGAGAAAGAGGATGAGTGGAGTGACTGGAAAACATGGGAGAAGGAGGAGGAGGAAGCAGCTGCTGCCAAAGCAAGAGAAGATCAGAAGCAGCCTGCAAAAACCAAGAAGGAAGAGCCAGAGGAGGAGAGAAATGTCCTGAGGGGCCCTGAGGCGAGGTGGAAAAACAGAACTGGGTCTTCAAAGCAGAAGTCCAAACTCAGGTGGGCTGAGAACAAGGCACTGGAAGAAGGAGAAGACCCAGAGATGGTGAAGCTGGGTGCTATGGGGGCCTCCAGGATGAAGAGGCTGGTCAGCAGGCAGGAGGACAGAATGTCCCACAAGGAGACTGTGGCAGCTGCAGAGAGGGCAGCAAAGGATGCAGCTCAGGCAGCACAGTCTGCCAAGGACACTGCCCAGCTGTGGGCCTGGCAGAGCTGGCAGTGGCAGCAGGCCTACTGGGGCCAAGGACAGGTTTGCACCACTTTTTTGGGGATGGCAGAGTCTGCACTTGTTTGAACTTGATTCTTGTTTGACCAGGACAGATGGAGCAGGCCTATGGGACCACCTGGCCCAATGCCCAGGCCAGCACCTGGCAGCCTACTGCTCAGGCCAGCAATGCCCAGGCCAGCACCTGGCAGAGTCCCTGCCAACCCACAGCCCATGGGGCCTATATGCAGTACACCCCCATGTGGACAGCAGCCCACAGCCCACAGCCCAGAGCGCACAGTGACTTCCTGGACTCCAAGGTGGCTGGAAGCAAAGCAGCTGGCACCAATGCAGCTGGAGGAGGAGAGCCAAGAGCCAAAACAAACCCCAACCCTTACAAGTAGTTTACACCACCATCCATAAAGGAGCTTTTATTTTGGAAGTTTTATGCACTACTCATGTTGCAAAATCTATTTGGCAACATTTTCTTTGAGAGGGCCACCAGTCAACCTTGAATGCTTCTGGTGACAGGCACTTGTCAATGAAATTGTTGTGGGCTATGATGGACTATGTTTCAAAAATAAAAACAAGGAATTGTAAGGGCCTTGATGGGGTGCCACCTCATTTTTTCCAAACCACACATTTCTAGGGACTTGGTCTGCAGTAACCTTTGCATTGGCCCTGCCTGTCAGGAGAAAATCCCAAAAAAACGACCAGGGATGACAATGCTGAGGAGGGCAACTACCTGAGGGCAAAGTCCAGGGCACAGCCTCCCAAAAATTGGGAAGGAGCCACCAGCTCTGGTGGAGATGATGTTGGGTGGCACATTGCACAAAGGAAAAAGCGCAGGGGCAAGAAGAAGTGAGCCCAAAGCATCTGAGGATGGAAAGAAGGCCTTGCAAAAGGGCTTACAAATCTGAAACCAAGGGCTTTGCAAAAGAGCTCTGAAAGGATAGGTCCTGCAAAAGGGCTTCCAATTTCCTTCTCCAAAATATGGGCCCTGCAAAAGGAGCTCCAAAAAATGTACAGAAGCCTTAAGACAAGGCTGGACTGCCACAAGGGCAAACAACATAGCCCAAGGAAAAACATGATGCACCCTGAAATTCAAGGGGAAAATGGTGGCACCCTGCAATTTTCAAAACACTGCTTAACCTCATATGATCTCATATGATATCATATGAGGCAGCCATGCCTCATATGAGAGAAAAATAGCCTCATATGAGGAAAACATGTCTCATATGAGGATGCCTTAGCTCATATGAGCTCATATGATATCATATGAGGTTTGGCCTTTTTGGAAATATTCCAGAAAGTTGAAAAATTGGGGATTTTTTTTTTGGCACCACAAAAGGAAAAAAAGGCCATGCTCCACGGTTGAGAGCTGGAAGCTGCCCATGAAGGCCCAGTCATGCCAAGCTGTACTTGCCAGCAACTTTTGGCTTAGTAGCTGCTGTTCTTTTCGGTGAAAAGGAGGGGGACCTGCAAAAGGTCTCAGTGTGCCTTTGCAAAAAAGGCTTTAGAGCATAGGCCTTGGGAAAGGGCTTGAGCAAAATGCCACCCAAAGCCATGAAAGCCATGAAGGTCTTGAAGCTCAACCTCAAAAGGCCAGCTGCCAGTGGCTTGGAAAGCCTTGAAAGAAAAGAAGGGATGAGCCTGGAAGACAAGATGGAGCTCTTCAGGAAGAAGGGGAACAAGGATGTGGGTTCCTTTTTGGATTCCCTGACTAAGCAGCAAAGGGAAGCTTTGTGGCAGAGGTTTGCCAGTGCAAGGGCTTCTCTGAAGGATGGTGAGGCTGATGCCATGTGGGCAGAAGTGGCCAAGGGCAAGGGGTCAGATGGCCCAAAGAAGAAGCTGCTGGGCACCTTCTTGAAGCTGGGGGGTGACCTGAAAGGCAAGAAGGACCTCTGGCACAAGGAGCTGCTGACCTACAGCAAAAGCAGTGGTCCCTTGGCTGCAATTATTTTGCCTAGCAAGCAGTGTGTGAAGACCTTGTGGTAGAGCTTCTTGTGCCAGCATCTCTGAGGTGAAAGGCACACTGAGGAGTGGGTGCCCTTCCAAGCCATCCTCAAGAGGTTTGGGCTGCAGGAATGCCTCAGGAGGGCAACTTGCTGGCACTTATTTTCATGCAAGCTGTTCCTTGCCCACTTACTGCCAGCCATTGCTAATTGACACAAGGTCAAGAGAGGAAGCATTGCCTGCAGAAGGGACCCAGCTGACAGACATGAGTGGCAGTTCAGCTTGAGAAAGTCTGTGGCATGGACTGAGGAGGAGGCCAGGCATAGCTTCCAAGGTGAAAGCAATGTGAAGGTTGAAGCAGCACACTGGCTGGAGCTGAAAGCAAAGGGGTTGCTGGAGGATGGAGCTGAGGACAAGACCCTGGCAGACAAGGCCCTCCAGGATGTCTTGCCCAGTAACAGCAAGGGCTCCGGCAACAAGCAGCCCCTGGCCTTGAAAGACAAGAGTGAGGATGAGAAGGAAGATGAAGATAGCCCTGACAAAAAAAGAGACAAGGATGGCCAAGTGGCAGAGGCTGAAGTCCTGTCTGAGGTGGGCAAGGCCCTGCCAAAGAAGGAAGCTGCTCTCAGGGTCACCAGGATGGTCAAGCTACTGAAGGCAGTCAAAAAGGATGTTGGTGCTGCAAAGGGAAAGCCTTTGGATGAATGCCTGGCAAAGCTTGAGAAGCTGCACAAGATGGGGGACAAGGTAAGCCTGGAGGATGCGAAGGGGAAGCTCTTTGATGCTGCCATCCAGATCAAGAAGGTGAAGAAAATGTGAGGGGAGAAGTTTTGCAGGTCCTGCAAAAGGGCTTTCTTGAACATGGTTCTGCAAATTTTTATTTGCAGTGTTTGTCAAGTTGGTCCTGCAAAAGGGCTTTCTCAATTTGGTCCTGCAAAAGGGCTATGTACCCCTATAGGGTGATGGACCTTTCAGCATGGCCTTGGTGCAAAAGGAAGGCAGCTGCTTCCTGTCCAAACACACCCGCCTTGACACTTTGACAAGCAACACTGACTTGGAAAGCCTTGTTGCAAAAAGGCATGTGTCTGCAGTTGCTTGGCTCTTCAGGCAGCCATAAGGATTATAAGTCCTTTGAAAGGGCTTAGACTGGTCCTGCAAAAGGGCTTCAACAGCCATGGCTAAATGGAAGAGGAAAAAGTACCAGGAACCTGCAGGACCCCATAGAGAAGAAGAAGAGTTCTCACCCCTTGGCTTATCTCTGTTGGAGCATTTCGCCTCAGGGATGAGTGCCCCTTGGCAGCATCTAACTTGTGCAGGATGCTTGCAGGTAATTCTTGTTTAGACCATATGGTGAAGCTCAGGGGCCATCTGTCCAAGCTCTTGCATTGGCAGCAACCAAGAGTGGTGCTAACTCTGCTGATTTGCAGCAATTGGCTTCACTGGGGAACTATGGGAGGTCTTCTGAGCACATAGCCTCCCAAATGATTTCCAAGTATTGCAAGTCAGACAGCATCAAGCTTCCTGAGCCCTACTTTGTTGACACCCCTGTTCGTGTGAGAACTGCAGATGACTGGGTGGTTGCTGTCAAGCCAGTGGCATTGTACTTGCCACATGAGTGGTTTGCATGGCTACAGCTAGAGGAGCAAGCTGCTGGCTTTGAGCAACTGGAGGAATTCTGGGAGAATCATCCCATGGGTGACCCCAAATTGGATGGCAATCCAATCATGGATGCTTCTTGGCAGCAGACTTGTTCACCCAGCTGCTTCTCACAAGCATTTGCCTTGGCCCACTTTCTTGTGCCTGCCTGCTTCTTACCTAGGAAGGATGTGGCAAGTACCTGCCCCTCATTCTTCATGGGGATGGTGGGGCATTCCAGCGAGCAGATAGCATTCTGGTGCTGAACATGAGATCACTGCTATCTTCATCCAGTGTAGCCCACAGCCAGATGCTCCTCCTAGCCCTTCCAAAGTCTGCAATCCACAAATCTGAGATTCTTGCTGAAGATACCATGCATTGCCTCTGGTCAGTGCTGACCTGGTCAATGCAGCATATGTACTTCGGCAAATTTCCAGAGAAAGCTGCAGATGGCAAAGACTGGCAGCACAAGTCAGCAAGGGGCCAAAAGGCAGGAACCTTGTTGAATTCTGCAGGGCTTTGTGGAATGATCTTTGCCATCACAGCAGATGGCGAGTTCTTTCAAAATGAATACAAGCTGCCAGGAAGTTCCCATGCAGAGTGCTGTTGGAGCTGTGGGGCAAACAGGTCCAGTCACCCACACAATGACTATAGAGCTGGAGCCAAATGGAGGGAGACCATCAAGAACCATAAGGACAGCAACCCCACAGACCACCTGATCATGACAGTGCCAGGCATCAATGGCTACACCTTGGCCTATGACTCTCTGCACATCTTGGAGCTGGGTGTTTCAGCCCACATTGTGGCCAACTTCATGTTCGACATGGTGGTGAAGGCAGAATTGCCAGGCAGCTCTTTTGAAGCCAGGCTGAAGGAACTTTTCAGAAAACTGTCTGGCTTATACACTGAGCTGGCCACAGACTCCAGCAACCAAGTGAGAAGACTTCACTTGTCCACTTTCTGCCAGCCCAACAAGAAGTGGGACAGTTTTCCTGAGCTCTCAGGTGTGAAAGCAAAACAGGTGAGACACCTCATCCCTCCACTCCTGGAACTCAGCCAGGATTTGGTCGATGAGAGCTCTTACAAAAAGCACAGGCTTGAGTGCATCAAGAACCTCAACCAAATGTATGAAGCTATGGAGTGCCAGGGGCTGCATCCTGATGAGTCAGCATATGAGCAGTACAAGAGGAGCACAGAGAAATGTTTACTCCATTACAGCAAGCTTGCCAAGATTGCAATCTCTCAGAGCATTCTTCAATGGAACACTGTGCACAAGCACCACTTGGCTTGCCATATGCCAGAACAATTTAGGCACTTGAACTGCAGGTTTGTGTCAACATACTCTGGTGAAACAATGGTGGGCTTCATGGCCTCTCTTGGGCACGCCTGCCTCAATGGCACTCCTCCACATTTGGTGCCTGCAAAGGTTGCCTGGAGATATAGATTGGGACTGCACCTGAGGGTGACACATGGTGACTTTGACCTGGTGGATTCTGAAGAGGGACTGTGAGTCCTGCAAAAGGGCTGCATCTGTCCTGCAAAAGGGCTGTCTATGGTCCTGCAAAAGGGCTATCACCCTGACTTTGCCTCATTGTGCCCTTGAAAAAGGAAGCAGCTGTCTCAGGAAGTGGCACCACATGCTGGCCACATGTTTCTGAAAAAGCTGTTCATTTTCTTCAGATTCATACATTCTAAGCCAACAGGATCCTGTTGAAAAAACAATAAGGGCTCTGTTGGTTTTTTCAACAAGGCTTTTAAAAAATGCACCTTTCTATTTCAACAGCTTTT